AAATAAATAAAAAGTTCCCGTAACAAACCTTTATTTCCTGGCTACAGGAAGCACAGATGGAATGTGAATTTAACAGATCTGAAAAGTTAATCCAATTAGGAATTTTGGACATCTTGAAAGGATGATCATTTCACTATTTGGGGGCTGTACCATATCAATTTTTTCCCCACCAATGACATTGTGGTTAGAACCAAGTTTCCAATATTTGTTGTTTAATGCACAAGTGTACTCATGTTTAATACTATATCTGTTATATCTTTACCATAACATTTTCTTTCCCCAGATATACCTTGCAATCCTTACACCCTATTTTCCACCTTCTTCCCCATCATGTAGGATCATCTTGCAGTAATCCTAAAGCTGTGTTTCTCAAAGGTTAGTCCTCAGACCACCTGCATCAGAGTTACCTGGGCCAGGGGAGGTGCTTGTTAAAAATATAGATTTTAGGGCCCACCCAGAAAATAAACTGAATCTCTTGGGTAGAATCCTAGAATCTGCATTTTACAAGCACCTTAGATTTTTCTAAAACAGGTTCTTATGAATGCTAACATTTAAAGAATCATCCTCCTAAAGTCTTCAAACTCATTTGGGCAAAGAGAGATACACAAAGAAAATGTGATGAACAGGATTGAACTGCTACTCATCAATATACACCCACCTGTAAAAGTGCTGCAATAGTACCAAATGAATGCCACAGCATGGGTGCAAGGTCAGGAACAGATTCTCGCTTCTTACTTAGCTCCAGCAAAGCATTTTCCCTTGTCTCAGGACTGGACAGCTCATTAATCCACTGATAGATCTTTTCTCTATCCACTTGAGCCAGTGCCGTAGGCACAGGCTTCAAGGTGAAAATAAGAAAGTACACATGTAAGTTTCATTAGTCAAACCAAGTCTTATTCTATAATAGTGCTTTAGGGGGAAATACTTCCATAAACACCAGGGGAACTTTTGCAAATACATAAACTTGGATGTAAATTAATTCAACCTCTTTGGCAGTAATCTACCAAAATCTAAACTGTATACACCCTGTGATCAGTAATTCCATATCTAGGAATTTATCCTAAAGGTATACTTGAGGTGTACTAGGGCTGTACTAAAGACATATACCATTTTTACTGCTGTATTGTTTTTAAAGCAGAAAACTTGAAACAACAAATATCAATCAATAAGAGACTGGTTAAATATATTGGCACACTTTCTTTCAATAAAAATAAGATAGTGTTAAATGTGCTGATATGAAATAAAAAACAAAAAAAATTTAAAAAGGTGCAGAACAGCATATATAATATGCTTCCAATATACATATATATATTCCTAGATTTACATACAACATTTCTAGAAGGACACACAATAAACTGCTAACAGCAGTTACCTCTAAGGTTGGGGATCTAGGAGACTTACTTTTCATTGCATACAATAAAACTTCCTGCAAAAACTATTTTTTTAACCAAATGCCTAAAATAGTTTTTGAGAGAGAAAAGTTATACCCTCTCCACCTACTGCTAGTCCCTTCCAAGTAATTCTGGCATCCCCTCCAAGGAGAAGCAAATCTGTGTCATTTGGAAAAGCTCCTCCTCTAATAATTCTTATATTTACCACATTTCCGTCCCTTTGAGAACCATTCATTACTTACTCATCTAGGGACAACATAAACAGATTAACAGAGCATGTTTTCAATATTGTGCTGAAGAATCACAGTATTACCATTTCCATAAAATTTCAGCATTTCTGTAATTCTTCACACTTGTCAAAAGCCTCAGGACCTTGGTTAAGTCCCTTAATTATTCTTATCTGGAAAATAAGATGGTAGGCTAAAAAAATGATTGCCATTGTTACTTCTAGCTATAAAGTCCTAACAAACACATGGTCATTTCTATCCCTATGCCCAATATTTTCTGACGTAATTCTCCCCAAACTATGACATAGGTAGATAGAAAAAAAGGGAACCTACACTTGCAGGTAAGATCGCTGATGCTCAGAGTAAATCCTGGTGGCATAGTGGTTAAGAGTTCACCTGCTAACCAAAAGGTAAGCAGTTTGAATCCACCAGGTGCTCCTTGGAAACCCTGTGGAGCAGTTCTACTCTGTCCTATAGGGTCACTATGAGTTGGAACCGACTCGACAGCAACGGGTGGGTTTATTCACAGAGGTAAGGAGCCTTAGTGTCTCAGTGGTTAAGTGCTTGGCTGCTAACCAAAAGGCCAGTGGTTCGAACTCACCAGCTACTCCACATGAGAAAGATGTGGCAGTCTGCTTCTGTAAAGATTACAGCCTTGGAAATCCTATGGGGCAGTTCTACTCTGTTCTATAGGGTTGCTATGAGTAGAAATTGACTGGAGGGCAATGGGCCTTTTTTTTTTTTTAATATTCACACAGGTATGAAGTCATACATTCTAGTACTTTCTTGAATGGTATTACATAGCTTCTCACAGTAGTTTTATGTTCCCACTACACCCTGATGTGACAGAATGATGAGGAACGAAAAAGGACAACTGCCTTTTTTGAAGGGTAGAATGAAGTCTAAGAAGGACTCTGAAGTGGACTCTAATTTACTCTACCCAACTTGAACAATGTGGTTGTGTGCTGTCAAGTCGGTTCCCATTCATAGCGACCCCATAGGACAGAGTAGAACTGCCCCCATAGGGTTTCCAAGGAGCAGCTGGTAGGTTCAAACTGCAAACCTTTTGGTTAGCAGCCAAGTTCTTAACCATTGCTCCACCAGGGCTCCACTTGAACAACAGCCTTCTATAAACGGAAGCTTAATTATAAGCTTTTAGCTTGATGTTTATCATTTCACTTGCTTGACAGAATGAACCACAAGGTGCTCAACTAAATGGACGGAAGACTATGTAGCTTAAACAATCTTTAAGTGCTTTGGTGTAATCTGCTAAAAGCTGTTTTGTAACCTCCATCAATGATGCTCCTTAAGAAATCACAGGCTCCTAGAATAACAATATGATATAGAAGGAAAAGGGTAGTTTTTTCCCCTCGCAGCTTGTGAAGCTACCTGTGGGAGCTGCAGCCTCTGTGGGACTTTAGTTCTAAGAGAGCTAGGGATGTCAGGTGGGTGGTAATGTGGGCCATTATAGGTACTAGGTATTTGTCATGGGTTCTGCAGTCATTCCATCAACAGGAGAGCATCCGCAGAGGACAGTGAGAGCAGTTTGGTGCCAGGAAACATCTGGGGTAGGGACCCTCCTTTTCATCATCCCTGCTGAATTTTATCTCTAATTTAATAGCAAGAGTTAGTTGAAACCCACTGAATACACACCTGTCATGGAATTAATAGTAACTTTTAAAAATAAAAATGGGAGATAACATATAATGCTTACTCTATGTCAGTTACTGTCCTAAATAAATATGTATCATCATCACTCTCATTTTACAGATGAGGGAACCAAGGTACAGAGAAGTTATTCAGAACTTAAGTGGCAGGACTGATCTATAACTTAAACCCAGGATTTGAACCAAGGCAGTCTAGCAACAGAGCCCATGTTCTTCACTGCTTTGCTAATGTAGCTCCTCATCTGCCTGAAAGAGTAGGTTTGATCTAAAGATGACTTTCTTTAAGCAATTTCTGTGACCTACACAATGCAAGAGATAGTGAATATACAAAAATCTCAGACAAAAATTAAAATGCTATTGCTGTTAGTTCGGCAGAATCTGAAAGAACAATCAGCACCATGAACAGTATCATTGATGTTGACAGAAGTTCTCTATTTATTGAGATTACAAGTCACTTAACAACCATTATTTTAATGGGAAAGTCTGTGAAATAGTTTGACATTGTTACCCATGTCAAAGTATGATGGCTCAGACAGGGACATATTTTAGCTAGTGACAGTAACTAAACACACACACAATTTTATAACACACATAAAGGAGTTTAATTATTCTGGAGAATAAAAGAGAAAATATTTTTACATTTTGAGTGATGTATTGATTAATATATTAATTTATATTACCAGATGACTGGTAAACTATTTTGAACATCATTCCTGAATACAACACTAAAGCACAGCTTCAGTTTTTCACTAAATCTCGATGGTAATAAAAACCCAAAATATATCTACTACTCTCCTCCTGAATTCTAAAGGTCTTTCAGGCACATTTTTCACCAAAACAGAACAATCTGAAATTTCATGTCTTCCTGAAAGGAGGTGGAGAGTGAAAGAAAGGGTGGGGTGGGTGAAGGAAGAGAGAGAATTGTGTTGTACTTTAAAAAAAAATATATATTATTAACGCAGTTTCATTTAATGATCACAACAAGGTGCTTATTATCCTTATTTTACAACTGATGAAACTCTATTTAAAGATCACCTCTAAAGATTTCTAGTTCAGATATGACAATTCTTTTTATTTATAATTTACTAATACATTTCTGAGGCAAAGCTAATCTGGAGCTCAATCTAGCAGCACACACTGCCCAGTGGCAAATAAGCAAACTCATCTATGACTTTCCTATTGGAGACTACCTAATTTAAAAATATAACAATAATAGCAGGAAACTAATCATGAGAGCAAAAGTTAGCAATTTTTGAGCCCCAAATTTCTCTAAGGATCAAATGAAAACTATAGAGTATTTATTTATTGAGCATACTGTGCACCAGGCACTGTTGATTACCTTACTTCAGTCTCAAAATTCTGAGAAGAAACAGGGTCAAGGAGGTTAAACATGCTCAAGGTCACAAAGGCAGTACACAGCAGAATTAGATTTAAATTCTAGTCTACTTCTCTCTAGAATCAGTGATTCCTACAGGGTTTATAGGATTGAAATCACAACTATCCCTCCAAGTTGAAAAACTTACTTTTAAAAAATCCAATAAAGAATTTTAAGTTTAAAGTCAACAGTATCTTCCTTTTATTAGATGTTAAAAAAAAAACAAAAACCTATGTTTACATTATCAAAATTTAGAAAGAAGTTGTTTTCCCCTTTTCTGTTTAACAGTCTGTACATGGACCATGTATTTCAAGTTACACCTTTTTCTTTCAACAAAGCTTAAAATACAGGTAAGAAATTTATACCAAAGTGAGTCATCAATGGCTAACTCCAATGTCACAAACACAGGGTACTAACAGTTGATCTTCTATCTCTGAAAGATCTTAACATTTAATATGACAAGGAGATAGATATTTAGAAATTATCTTAAATGTGATTTTTTCCTTTTGGATAGATTAAAAAATTGATATAGATGGTTTTCTTAAACAGAAATAGCCAAATCTATCAATACAACTTTCTGTTCAAGGGCCAAAATAGCTGTCAGTTTTCCTAACAATGAACATATGACAGTGAATAAAAAAACAGACTTAGATGGAAATATGAATTATTTTCCCAAGTCTGGAGACGACCCAACAAGTGGTTTTGGGTGTCAACGTAACGATGATATTCCAAGAAAAAAATCAAACCGAACCAAAACCAAACCTTTCGAGTCGATTCCGACTCATAGTGACCCTATAGGACAGAGTAGAACTGCTCCCATAGGGTTTCCAAGGAGTGGCTAGTGGATTCAAACTGCCAACCTTTTGGTTAGCAGCCAAGCTCTTAACCACTGAGCCACCAGAACTCCATGCCAAGAAAAAAAGAACTTTCTAAATAGTGCTTAAAGTATTAAAATTAGCTCAGTTAACCTCATATCTTTATAAATAAGGGCCAGAATATTCTTTAAGGTAACTTTTTGAAAAATGGACGTGAAGAAGCAAAGAGAAGTTAAGCAATTTGCCTAAAGCTTCAATGAGAGACATGGGAGGAGATCCTTCAGTGTACAGTGTTCTTTCTACTTTCCAAAGGGGAGGGCTTCTGGGAGTTCATCACAGCTTCAACAGAAGTATATAAAATGACAAGGTAGAAAGTAAGGGAAAGACAATGGTTTAAGGATGCTACAGCTGTCAGTGGTAATTAGTGGGAAATTTAAAAAAAAAAAAAAATATATATGTAACCAATGCATCTCCTAAAGGCTTACCTTTGGCTGTTCAGATCACTAGCATAACATTCATTATAGAAGATAATGACTCTAGGTATGTGAAGATTTGTAGTTTTAATCTGAAGCAACCTCCAAGATCCATGAGAAAGCAAGCTGTTACTTTGCTGAGGTAGGAACTACAATCCCAAGGCTGAAGTCTGGCAGCAAGTCATTTAACCAGTGAGTGAACCTAGCCAACCACTAAGCAGTTGGTTATTCTTATTTAATCTTTAGAATAATCTTATGTGGTATTATTGTCCCCATTTTACAGATAAGGAAAAGAAGGCAAATATATTCTATGAAGGCAATAACGAAGTTGTTAGGATGTATTCCCTCAAGAATGACAATAGTCTGCTAATTAAAACCAAACCCACTGCTGTCAAGTCGATTCCGACTCACAGTGACCCTACAGAACAGAGTGGAACTGCTGCATAGGGTTTCCAAGGTTGTAATCTTTACGGAAGCAGACTGTCACATCTTTCTCCCGTGGAGCAGCTGGTGAGTTTGAACAGGTGACATTCTAGTTAGCAGCCAAGCGCTTAACCACTGCTTACCCAGGGCTCTTCGTCTACTACACAGTTCAGTGGAATAAAAGACTACAGTCAAGATTTAAGGTACTTCCTACATTATCTCAATCTCTCCTTCTACAAATAACATACTGAATTCACATGTGATCACATTCTCCTTTGATAGTACTTTCTATCTCCCTAGCTGAAGAGATGACTTACCTGCTATTTAAAGAAAAAAGGAAGAGAGGAATAAAGGCACACACACAAATACAAATTTTCATTATTTGGCAAAATGTAAGCATCTTCTCAAGTGGGTTAAATTATTGTGGGTAATGTTGCATGTATTATTAACTCTTCCCATCTTCTAATGAGTGATACACATCATTATTGTCTTTTACCCAGATCAGAATTCCCAGTTTGGTCTAATGAAAGACATGAAGAATTGGGAAAGACGTGACTCAACTCTTCTATGCCTTAGTCTCCTCACTAATCAAATAGTTCAGTGGATGAATGGTACAAAAGAACGTGTCAGAGCTGCTGTATGGTCCAAATAGTGTAACAGGTGCAAGTACATGTAAAAGTTCAAATTTTAAAGTAAAATGTAAGGCACTGTAAATTTAATTGAAGAAATGTACACTGAGTATTTATTACTCTTAATGTATCACAGCTTTAACGGCTATTCAAAAGATGCATTATTGAAAATAAAATTGGAGAACGACTTGGTATCAAAAGTACAAATCCTGGAGAAGACAAAGATTTT